TGGTACTTTTTAATAAGGCAAGCTAGCGAAAAACCACATAGAAAAGAAGTGGTTCCTTATATAACAACTTCTAATATATAGAAAAGCCAGTACGTTTTTGTAACAATACACACACTATCAAACTAATAACCCGAGCGAAGCCGGGTACTTTCGCAAGTATTAAATAATTTTAATGACCAAAAGAATTTGGTGAAATAGTTTATTTTCTATGTAAAATACAAAGGAAAATCCAGTATCAATTACCGGGATTGAGTGCAATATTGAGCTAGTGGTTAACGTGGCAGACTGTGAATCCGAGAGTCCGTGTTTTGTATCCTGTTGTTACAAATTTGAGTTTAGAACTTTGAAGCATGGATGTGTTATAAGAGTGACAGTCAAATCCCACAATTCAATTAGAATAACCCAAGATTTTTTATGGATGTTGCCTTCCCTCTATCAGTTCAAAATTAGGAATGGCTAGCACAGATAAGCCTTGTGTAGCTCCGCTGGAATATCTAAAATAAAATACAAACAGTTGCAAATTGCAATATTGATGGTAGTTTTTTGTGATTCATACATCAGGAACCATGTAATCAACAAATCCATGGACATGTAACAATTTGGTGCATAAATAGTTTTTGAAAAATGTGTTTAAAAAGCTGGTGGAAACCTTATGAACCCCACTAGTTAAAACACTAAATTATGCATATGTTAATATATATATACAATTGTTTCTTTTTTTTTTAGTATGTATTACTTACCAAGATCCTTTTTCTTCTCTCCATTTTGAGTAGCATTAAAAGTTGGTATATCTGTTGTATATTGTTGAGAAACACGAAAATATTACCTTCTATTCAGACACAACATACAGATCTATCCAGAGCTGCTCCATCATTTAATATAATTTCCATTGCATATTTGTTGAATTTTAATATGATTGATTGAGGTGTAGACAATATAATGGTTGTATTGAATGAGAGTTGGCTCAGTTCAAATAATTTGAAAACGCGAAGTAACTTTTTTGGAACATAATATTGCTCTTCCTTTGATCTTCTAAATACTATTACAAAACCCGAAATGATGCGATTTATCAACTTTAAAATATTTTTTGTTGTATCATATACACACATTAGATGTACAGAAACCTCACTGCTAGAATTACGAACATAAACACAGGCCATCACTTTGATCATTTTGGTATCTGTAAAAACATAAATAACACTAGTCATACTTTATATTGAGAGATGAATTATTTCTTCTTTGAGGAAATTTAAATATTTTGGATCTTTATTAGTTCTTTTTAAAACAGGATTAAGTTCAGAAATATTAAAAAGGTACTACTATTTTCACTAGAATGCCATTTCTTTTCAAAAAAAGCATTCCAATAGAAATAAATCAGTTGACCGTCTGTTTTGAGTTTTATACCTCCCCTATCACAAAGATTGTTTGTTTGTTTTTAATTTCGCACAAAGATAGCCATCCCTAATTTAGCAGTGTAAGACTAGAGGGAAGGCAGTTAG